TTAGAAAAAGAAAACGTTCTAGGTATCGTTTATGCACTAGATTAGATTTTCTGTACGCTATGAATTACTAAATTGTTCTTTTCTAATTTCTGACAAAAAAAAAATTTTCTCAGGATGATTCAAAACATATATAAATCGACTCAGTTTTTGCAAGTACACATAACAATCGGATGCGAATCCACTGTTTCCTTATTTATTTATATATATTGTTGTTGTTGTTTGAGGACTATATCATTAATATCGCGGCAGCGATTATATTTGACTGTTGTTGACAGTCAACAGATATGGTTTTTAATTTTTTATCAATGGCTATGGCTGCGTCTCCATGAGTGTTGATGTCTTCGGTTTTAAAATCTTCATAGGAAAGCAAAATTTTTGCTAAAACAGACATAATAAAACCCTGCATTACAAAGAAATTGTCAAATAGAAAAGGTCATGTAATCTACGAAAGATCAATGGGCCCGAACTAGATTTTCACATATTCTTTAGACGCTGGGAAATTGTTATCAATTTTCTTTAATGCTCGAGATTATGCGATTCATACTCTTGACGCAATCCATTTTTATAGACAAAGATCTTTGCAGAAAATTATTATTTGCATTTTTCGTGTAACACTTGTGAAATATTTAATGTGCTTTTTTTCAATCTGTGAAGTGCTATTTAAAAATAAATATCTAGTTTTATTGACACATTTTAAGTGTTAATTATTCAGAAATAAAGTCTAAACTTAGGTGTTGAACAAAGTAGAAAAATCTTGAAATCTAATTTTCAGTTTGTTAATCATTTGAGGTGTCTCATCAGTTCTTTGTTTCTTGTCTTGATTTCTATATGAATTCATTCTAGGCAACCTATTTTTGCCTTTCATAAAAATGAATTTTGATTAAACACATGTGATATAATTAAAAAATTGCTTAAACATCATTTCTTTCATATAATGCGACAATTTAAATAAAATAAATAATTTTCTAGGCAGGAAATGTGAATATCCATCATGCAACAGCAAGTATGAAAAGCTACGCATTACCTAGAATTATTTCATGTAAGTTACAATCATACTAGAAGCATCCTGTAACTCAAATATAAAAGGTATTTTCGAAATCAATCTATTCGTATTCATCATCATTTGCTGGCTACTTCTATTTTAAAATTAAGTCAATTATGAATATGATACACTTCGAAGATACAATTTTATGATTATGAAGTGAGAAATGTCATTTTATTGACAATGAGAGAATTTTTAGTCTTTGATCGACATGAACAAGTTTCTAATTGATTTTTAGACTATCAACACGATTTTCTTTCACAAAATATCTACAGGTCTCATGGAAAAATATTTTTGTGAGACAATGGATAAATGTTTTCTATGTAAAAATAACGTCAACGCTCAATAAATATACAAGGTACAAATTCATGTGTGGTTCGAAAATAATAATAACCGACAGCATCAAGAAAATAAATAGACTTATTTAGCTCTGTTATCTAAATAGAATACGATAACACCCTCGTTTTTTTTATGTTAACCGACAAAAATAATATTTCAGCTTCGTTATCAGCACTAATTAAACTATTTCTCAATTCAAGACACGCATCATGTACTGAAGTATGACAAAAATGAACCATTGAGAATATCAGATGTTCGTTTTTTCTTATCTTTAGAAGTTCGTTAATATGAGCATGAGAATTTGAAAGAACTTTTTTTTTGAACTTTATCTTATCATTAAAGTAACAGCATAGTCAAATTGGTTGCATTATTGCTAAAAGTGTATTTCAAGATTATCGAGCATTATAATTATATGATTCATTGTAGAAATCTAATTTTATTTAGATTATAAGGAAATACATCATTTTTTATAGAAAGTAATTAGTGAATACTCAGCTTGAAAACTATTTTGCACTGTAATTTACTAATCTATTCCATGAAAAAATAATGAAAAAAAATAAATAGATTTTCTGCTCTGACACTAGCAAATAACCAATGGCACGGAATTTGACGAAGAATATTAGATTTCCTGTTTTTAATAAGCAACGAAATTTATATCATGTCACGATAAATATTTATAAATTATATGGCAATACGATCTATCAAATAAATTATATATAGTGCGAATTCTTTCTTTTTCTACTTGATCAAACAGATAAACAAGTATTTTAGAACTATTTCACAAGTTTTATTTCGAATTCTGCTTTTAGCACAAATATATTTAAAAAAGCTTAGTTTTTTTAAAATATTTATATTTATATTCTATCGTTATTATTAACACATTCTAATATTTGTTGCCGCCGATGACATTGGCAATGCCAAATGTATTTATATTTTGATCTATATTTCTGTCTTCTTGATAATGTTTTTTCTCGTTCAATTTTCATGCATTTCATTCCAATCATTTGACTGATAAAAAAATTGATACGTTTATCAAATAAAAGATACGGTATAAATCTTATTGATAAACAAAGTAAATGTGCTGTATGTTGAAATAATTGTAAAAAAATCGAATATCGATCGTCTGGTGTTGTTTTATTACGAAGAACTTGATACATTGTTACGTATTTACTCACCATTATTGGTAAATATAATATAACAGAAGTCAAACTAATTGAGAGAATGATCAATGATATATCATTATGTCTTTGTTTATTACTTATTACTGTAGTTGATGTTGCTGTTTGATTACTTAGAGTTAACATATCGACAGATTCTGTATGAATTGTTACAATATTTTGTACATTGTGAACACTATTGTTATTAATATTATTAAATATCATTGATGATGTATACGAAAGTGGTTTGCCCATTAATGACGAAGGATCTGTATGATTACTGGTATGATATATTTTACGGCGAATTACATTTATACAATATAGTAATAAAATAATAATCCAACTAATATAAATAAATATATCAGTTACTTCGGCAAAAATATGATTCATTTTTTGGATTGTTGCAACGATTGATGGAGTATTCATATCAATCGTGCAGAACTGTATATGAGGCATGTCCGGATCCGGTACGACTAATTCAATAGATGTTGAGCCCAGCACACTTCGAATTATAATAAATGCCAGTACAAATACAACTGATAAACGTCCTCCTAGTTGACCTAATATAGTATCATATTTGCGTACGTAATTTGTTATTAAATGTAGCAGACATATGAAAAGTAATAAAGTTGATCCAGTAAATGTAAATGGTGTTAAAAAAAATGATAGTGGACATATTATTTGATGATTTATAATATTAATATATTGATCAACTGTTAAAATAATACTCACATAAATTGTACAATATAGGCAATCACTAATTGCCATTAAAATTAATAGAAAATATGTTGCACATTGACGACGACCAATCAAAAAAAATATGATTACTAGTAATAAATTGAATATAAGACCTGTACATGATAAAAGGAAATTTGTGTAGCGCATATATTTATTAAATAAATCATAGTTTTCGATTGCTAATGATATTATTGTTGTATTCATTTTCTAGAAAACAAAGGTATAACTATATGTTAGTATTATTATTAATCACTATTGTCTGAATAGAAGAGATAATCTGATAGTGATGATATATAATATACTTGTTCGAAGCATAAAAAAGAGAACTCAATTACAACTAAATAAATACGAACAACAACCGATTCTAAATTGTCAATTATCTGCAAGGTCAAAGTATGAAAACAAAAAGGAATTGGAATGACAATAGTGTAGTAAATGTGCACGTTTTTCTTGATTGATATAAGAAAGAAGAAAATTCCTTCGAACAAAAATTACCAGAACGTGTGATGCATATGAATGATTAGAACCAGAACGAATTTAATCTTTGTATTCATGACTTATCTTTCTAGTAGCAAGACAATCATGCTTCGTTCATTTCTCTCTTTCTCATACATATATATATATATGTCTGGAAAGTATCATCAGTCAGAGAAATTAAGAAAACCATCTCAATCATATGGAAGACTTACTTGAATCGATCTTTTCTCATTTAAACAATGCTTTGATTAAGTCAACAAGTCCATAGGAAATCTACACCTCGTTGTTAATGTTTTAGATAAAAACAGAGAAACAAAAGAAACTTATGAAAAAAGAAAAGAATAATAGTAACAACAATAACTTTTTCAATCAATAAATATAGATCTCAAGTCCAATCAATTTCTATAATTCTACGTTTTAGAAACGCTATTCTATTAGCTATGTAGTAGCTTATATTTTCATAAATGTAGAATACCGCTCATGAAAAATTAATTTTCTATTGAGAAAAAAAGAAAATATTAATAATGTATAAATTTTGATACCGATTCATCAGTTTCAATCACATATTTTATCCTTAAACAAGTACGAATGAATTCATGCAAGAGAATGATAGAAACTAGAAAAGAAATTCCTTTTGAAAGCCGAGTTCTCTTTATTCTTTCGCTTTCTTCTTCTTTTTTTGTATATGCTAAAACTCGGATGTTGCCTTTTCTCTTTTATACAAAGAGTACTCTTCTGGCCCACTAGGTAGAGTTATTTCTGTCACTTATTCATCTTCAAGCAAAAATAAAAATACAAATAAAAGTTCGTTCCTAAAATCGAATTGAAATAAAATATTTATATTTTTAAATCTAACAATTTTGCACTTTATTCGATATTTTCAATATAAAAAATTACTAAAACAAGTATGCTATTTTCTATTTCAACCTTCTAGTTTTATAAACAACAATTTTTTCTAATACACGATTCGCATTTTTAGAAATCTTATTTTTCGTCAGCATTTATCATTGTGACATACCATGATATAAACAACAATTTTTTTCTAGTAGACGCTTCGCATTTTTAGCAATCTTATTTTTTGTCATCATCTATCATTGTGACATGCCATAATATAAACAACAACTCTATAACACTGTTAGCGAAAACAATATGTCGGGTTATTGTATTTAACAGCGGATTGTTTTTCTTTTCATCAAAATTAAAACTTATTCATCAGTAACAAAATCAAATTATGTAGAAAAATAGGTCTTTTTTTTAAATAATAAGCTAAATCTAACATGTTTAATTGTACGACAAAAGTACGCACGTTAGTATCTACCTACAAAAAATAGCCACCATGCTGTCTTTCACAAATATACCTAGTGCGATCATTATATATTGTTTTCTTTCTGTTCAACAGCCAGAATTCTCTTAAGGTAGAATGTCAGATATAAATACTGAACATTCTTTTAAGTGATTAATTGTTAAAAGTGAGCACAACCGAACTAATACATCAGATGTTATCCTCCTAATAGTTATTTAATTTCAGATGTCAATATTTAACAATGGGTGTAAACCTTTTCACAAGCGTTCAGATAATAGAAGAACTCTGTATATATGCATATCTTCTGTTATTTGCAATGATTAACTAAATAAAATTAGTTGTTGGTATATTCGAACCAATTCAATGTAATTCTTTGTGTACAAATGTTATTATTACTTAAATTCATTTATTTCTTAACATAGTGTATAGATAGATTAAACTACGGCATGTACTCTATCCTATGATCAATTTATCATTAAATACATATGAGGTCTAGAAACAAAAACAAAAGTACTGTAGTCAGACAAAAATATCTTGAGATTGTCTACTATCAAGATTTACACTGGGTTTATAAAAAGAACGATAACTAGAAACTTTTTGTTAATATCATGTGTAATATATAAAAACTCGACACCGTAATACGTCATTTATAGCGTCTATTATTGGTTCTGTATTTCCATAATGAAAAAAATGTATGTTATGGTTACACTCAAAAGTCTGCCACTATTCATCAACATCTACATCAATCCCAGGGTACATAAGTGAAAAAGAAGTTCTATCAGTTGAAAATCTTAATATTGATCTATTTAAGCACAAGAATAACACGGTTATTAAGCATAAACGAATCAGAATAGAAAAACAAGCAAGAAGCCTTGATACAATCTCGCACAGATAACGATTGTTATATGTATTGTAAATTGATAGATATGACAAATAAACATCATATCATATCCAATGGAATATTTTTTTACCTTGTATTCATCAGATAGCACTTTTTCATCAATGATTCCGATATTTATCTTGCAATATACAATACTATACTTAAATACGCACCGTAATTTATTTGAGTACTAGTCAATATTTCGCACTAATACTTATGGAATTAATCAAATAGACATTGCCAAACAAACATACTGTACTTGCACAGTCGATCGCGAAGCGTAAAAGATATGTTTTTTCTCTGTAATCCGCCTTCTAATATTCAGATTTGATTTATTATTCCGAGCGTATATATCATAAACTATACATAGCATACTCTGTTTTTTTTCTCTTACACAATCTATCCAAGAAACAAATCAGATACTGTAGGGAAAACACACTCTCAAAAGATTCAATAGATCTTGATTGTATAATTCTTTTTTTTCAAGTAATAATAACAGAAGAAATATCATATCGTAATAGTGGAGAAGTTTCGATGATAAAACTTTAAGGGCAACTTGATTTACTGCAACTTACCTAATTATACAATAGACACATAATAATCTCATTTTCTTGTTTCTCGTTTGCTATATTTTTCTCGTGTTAATATGCTAGTTTCTTTTGTTAAAAATTTTTTCTCGACAGTAATGTGGAGAAGAAGGGAGAGATCGTAAACGAGAGACGTTAACAACATCTACTGATAAAAGAGAAAAGCTTAGAATGTCGCTCTTTTTTGTTTCTTTTTTTCGGTCTCCAGCCGCTATTCATCGTTAAAAAACAACTTTTCACATACTTGGGAATTGTTTATTGTCGATATTCGTTGTATTAATTGGTTGACTATTATAGATTATCATATCAGTACTGCTTTTCAAGAAGACGACATCCGAACAATGAAAAATGTTGGATCTCAATAAAAAAATAAGAAAGCTACTAAATCTATTCTCTAGACAAAACAGAAAATTATTTTGAGCCTCGCTGAAAATAAATATCGATTTCTATATGGGAAAACATTTAGCATAAAATAGTTGTACTTCTTTGATTGTCTGTAGTTTCAACGAAGTAAAGGAGAGAGTTTTTTTCATAATAAGAAACTCTGGTATTGTGAAGAAAGTTTTAGTTAACGTGTGAAAGTAAATGATATTATTCTATGATGCCTGCTCGAGATTAATGTTATTTGAATATTTTCGAATAGATGACATCAAAAACAAAAGGCAAGGGTACTCATTTTTCTTATACTAATTAGATTCAAATAATATAGTCGAGATGGATGTGAAAGTACTGAATTAAACTTTTATAGTGTCGTTCAAAGCAAAGAAAAAAATGAATGGAAAATTCCAATGGTATCATCCATTTCGCTTCAAAATCATAGAAATCAAAATTTCAATGAATGCAATGCCTCGATTATTTGTATGCGAATAAGTATTGAATCCAATCAAATATTTCATGTTAATAGATTAGAAATTTAGACAATCCATCATAATAAAAAATAAACACGGGCAAAAATGATATGTTGATCGTTTATAGTTGAAAACGACCGGAATAAGTAACATTATCCCGTGCGATTGACGTGTTGTTATAACTTAGGGAAAAGTAAATTGAAGAAAAGCGCGCTATATTACGAAACATGCAACTTTTATGCTGATCGTGTGATAAATTACAAAATTTGTCATTATCAACACATAATACATTGTATATCTACATAGTGATATATTTATATTAATTTAAAAAGGATACCAATTAGTATTCTTTTCATTCTTTTATAGGTTTATATTTTTTCTTAGCTTATATAGATTTTTGATTACATTGTATTTTCTGAAACGTATTCTGCATTACGGGAAAGCATTATGTATCAATACTCACTGTTAGGGTCTGACATCTTTACTAAGATAGAGAAACAGACCCGCATGAATAGAATAGTTGTTTGTTTTTGTTTTCCTTTTTTCTCCTTTTCTTCAGTGGCAAAATTATCTCCCTATGTTATGTTCTACATAGGAACTCACTGCCTTACATTTTACATTATTTATATTATTATTATGAAATAAAATTATCCTTTGAAAAAGGAACATAACACTCACACTTAAGTTTATTATCATTAATAAAACATAAATTACATTTATATAACCTACTTGTATGACGACTAATAAAAACGCATGCGTGTACCTTGATATTCTACAACAAATATCATTAGAAAAATTAAAAGATTTAGTAATATTTCCCTTCACGCTCTATTCTGAGTGATTATTCGGCTATTCTAATATCATCGAAGTACTGACAAATATTTTTAACAAAGATAATTTTTTTACATTATACAGTCTATCATAGTGAAATTTACATGATTTTCTATGAAAATAACAAGTAGAAGATTTTATTATGATGTAAATCATTGGAGAATGCGATTGATTGAGAGCAATAAAATTTTTGCTTGTCGATAAAACACTAATCCCTATTCAAAGTCTACATACAAATTAAGTATTTAATAATTTCAAAATGTACTAAATATTATATT